TGCGGTAGACCAAGGCTATAGGACCCAGTCTGTTCTGCTATTTACCCATAGCTGAGGGGAGAAGAAGAGGATTCATACCTTTCCCAAGGGTATTAGCACATAAGTGAATGTAATGTATTTGATTGGAATTCAAACTTGGCTCTCTGATTTCTCAACCTGAGCTGCTATCCATTACTCCACCATGCCTTCTGGAAGGACTACATTCTCAAAAGCCTTTGTTTAACGTTAACGGTACAGGTAAGCTCCTTTAGACTGCCTTCTGTAGCCTAGATTCTTTCTGTTGCTATGAGGAAAGGTCAAAGATTATCTGCATTCTTGTCTAAAGATATGTTATGGCGAAAGTGTAGATAATTTTTGACTTTTCCTTGTACATAAACAGCAAAATATCATTCACTATGTGAGCCGCTTAAAATCTACAAATACATATAAATGAATAATTAACAATGTTCTTATTTTTTCCTCTCTCTAATTTGTGTTCATCTTCATTTGCACATGTTTACATTGCTGAAGTATTGCTTTGCCAGTGTTATCCATTTTATCTGATATGTTCTTGTAAGGGTATTGTATGGCCCCAATTCAACCTGTACATTTTTTTTTTACTTTACAAATATGTCAGCAAATGAAAAGCAAACAAGAGAACCAACACAAAAACTCTTTTTATAATAACAAACACTCTTCAATTTACAAAGCAATCAAATGTGTGATTTTTATATAGTAAGAGTTGTAATTAATAACAGGAGGTAATCACCTTTAACTGTTATTTGAATTACTCAAATTTCTCAAAAACAATTTGCATTTTTTTACTGCAAATTACAGGTGATAATAGGGGTGCGTATTATAAATAGGTTTAAATAAAAATAATTTTTGTTATTGATTTATAATAATAAATACGTACTTGTTGTTCTAAAATAAGAAAAATACTATCCCAATTTTCATTTTAAATCTAACAATAATAATTGTAACATTTTTTTTGTCAATAAATTTGTTTATCCAGTAACAGCATTTTTTATTTGGCAAAAAAAATAAAAAATCTATAAATTTCGAAGCAAAGAGGATATCAAGCTAACAATTTGTTGAGATTTTAATCATCATCATCATCATCATCATCATCATCATCATCATCATCATCATCATCATCATCATCACTTACTATTATAGAATCGATATCTAAATTGTCATTAAACAAATTATCAATCAGAATATTATCTTCATCATGTTCAAAATTATCTTCATCTTCTTCATTCTCTTGCCAAAAGATGTCATCTTCAGAGCCATTCCATGGCTGTCGTGAGACAACACTTCTTGAAACCTTTCTTTATAAAATCCTCGTTGACGAAATCCCAAGATTCTTGAATCCATTTTAAAATAATTCCAACTCTGGTTTTTCCTGTTGCCAATATCAGTAAAACTGGGAACACCAGAAAACATCCAGTAATTCCATTTCTTATGCTTCCTCTTATTTTAGCCACTTAGTTTCAATTTTATTCCTAATGTCAAGGTTGACAAAATGTCTTTGTAATTATTTATTTATTTATTTTTTTGACAAAATTTATAGATGCATATTATATATAGGGATAGATATATTTCTTAATTTTTGGATCATTTGATAGGGTGTGTATTATTTATGGGTGCGTATTATTTTCAAGAAATTACGTTAGTTAAGAAGACTTTAAGGAAGGTATATTTTTTTTTCTGGATTCACAGAAGTTTCTGTTGCTTGTAGTTGATGAGTTGAGATGTTCAATGCTCATACATACATGCCTGTGCACATGTATGTGTGTGTGTGTGTGTGTGTGTGCAGGTGTGTATGTCATAGCATCTTCCTAGGGACAGACGTAAACTCCTCACTGAACTACATATTTGTGGTTCTGAGAAAAACAGAGGAAAGAAGAGAAAGAGTTGAAAATGTTTGATATTTATAATATTGTATGTCACATGATAGGCTTGAAACACATAAACAGATTTTTGGGAGAATTGTATTCTCGTTCAGGTCAGAAACTAGGTCGATACAATTCGGACGTAGTGGAAAACATGATATTAGTATTAATTGACCAATCAGGAGTCAGAGAAATATCAAGGCTCTGTGATCCACTTTTTGCACAAAATTGAACAAGTTATTTTTAGCTATTTGAAATGATCTAGAATTAAAATTCTACATTCTTATTTTTTCCTCTCTCCAATTCTCTGATTGGTATCTATACCATATATTTCAATTGTGTTCATTATCTATTAATTCTTTATTTATATAAGATATTTGTTGATTTTAAGTGTCATACATAGTGAATGAGGTTTTGCTCTTTATGTAGCAAGAAAAGGGAAGAAACATAGCTTACATAGGAAGCAAGCCCAGGGTAAAGGAGCTACCATAGTCAGGCATGAATGAAAACAAAAATATAGTATCTAAAAGTTTGTGTTAGATATTTTACATTCAGTGATTTTTCTCACCATTTTGGTATAGGTTTGCACAAAAAAGATATAAAAACCATTCATTTGTGATAAAATATGTCCAGGATAATGCCCAGTACTGCCAAATTTGACAATAATGATTATGGCAGCATAGCTAGAGTCTGTGCCACCTAGGGCAGCCCTTGAGTTTCCTGGCCTCTACAAAAAATACATATTGCACAGTGACTCACTCTTAAAGTTAAATGTGTTGGTGACTTCAAATGAAATATCTCCAACAACAACAGCTCAGATGGTCAGTGAATCTTCACTGACAAAAAAATCTTATCTCAAACACTGCTTTATTATTGAGAGCCAACTACGAAAAGTATTTTTTAAACTACAGATTTTTCTGTAAACTAGCTACCCAAAGACTTTAGCACAACTAAATATTATTTTTACTCCCTTTTGCCTCTTTTGAATTAGTGGTGAGTACAAAATAATAATAACTCCCTTTACTCACTACCTTCAAATTTGGGCGAGCTGAGGAAAAAGACAGAAACAAATTTATGTTCCTATGTGAAATTTTCTTTGAACCAATGAAAACTTTGACTTCATAAAGATTGGCCAATGTGCTGAGGAAAAGACAAAAATAAACTTCCTAGCCTATGTGAAATTTTCATTGGACCAATGAAAACCTTGTTTTCACAGGAATTAGCCATTGAGCCTAGAAAAAGAAAGAAAAGGAAATAGCAAGCCTATGCAAAATACTTTTTGATATAAAATAAATATAAAAACTTAAATAAACAAGAGAAGAGCATCTGAACTCATGTGAAAAGTTTCATTTCTTTTCACATATCCAGATTTTTGACTTTGTCAAATTACTTGCTGATTATATTATTGGCCTTAACCAAGTACTTGGGACTTTAAAGAACTTTATTTTGTAGAATCAGATTCCTACATTTTTTTAAAATCTTAAATTTTGTGCAAAATAAACACATAGAGGCTCCCAGCCAAGTATAACAACTGATGTATTTTGATTGGTTGTAAAATATTAATTAGGTGTCGTCAACTACGTCCGAAGGTACCGACCCAAATTTTGACCTCTAGTTGACGCCATAAAATGTAAACATGTTTACGAGCCTCCCCACGTGACCAAGAGAACTAATAAAAACCAAACTTCGACGCGACTTGGTCAGTGGGCACTTAAAATATTGAAACCAATTCACTTGACTTCATTGGAAATCAACACAGCAAAGGAGATGAACTTTATCTTCAATACAACAACAAACTTTGTCAACCATCTCCAGGCTTAACGCTCACTCCCACAAAATATTCCATTCCACAAGAATCTCTGGTTAATGAGCGATAACAATCAGTGAGTCAAGAACAATACTTTTTTTCTATTTAATACACAAAAAAAACATCTGTTTAATTTTCCTATAAAAACAAATATAGCTAACTAAACCTTGTCATTTTCACACATACAGTACAGTAGCTCAAATTCCTACAGTAACACACACACCAAAGAACTCTATTGTGTTTATCAACTTTTGCACTATATATTATGTATTTGTTGTGTTTATAAAAAAATATTTATTGTTGAACAAATTCACATTTTCTTCTACTTGATTATTTCTCTTGTTGTTGTCTTTGTTACATTTGATATTGTAAAAATTGTAGAGGGTCAGTTTTTATTTCTATTTATAACCAATACAAATTGGCTGACCCACTATAATTTCAACAATCCAAGAAAGCTAAGTATTTCAAACTATCTCTCTTCATCTACTTTTAAATGTACACAAATCATACATTGCTTCTGTGAGCAACAAACTCTCTCACCTTTGTTTTAAACATTTTTTAATATTATTTTGTGTCAGATGATTTAATCTGTTGCATGAACATTTCTTCTTCATGACAATTCACTGAAACTACAGACTTTAAAAATTTCTAATTTATTTTCCTGAAATGAGCTACTGACACAAATTCAAGCATGTAAATTCCTTATTTTGTTTTGTTAAAATTACCCATGTGTTTCCTCATTGTTATTTGCCTCCATTCAGCTTCTTGGAGTGGGTAAATCAATTGTTCATTTTAAATTAACCTCAAAGTCCCATGCCGCTATAAATTCATGTACATACATTTGTAAATACAAATGATTTATTTAACAGGTATATCCATGATTTTTTTTTAACTTTTATTTTATTATTGTTCGGAATTTGGACGTTCGGATTTTTAATATGAAAAAAAAAAAAATGGACAACAGAAGTTCCCATATTTTTCTTTTATCACCAATCATTAAAAAGTTTGTCATACTTATAAATTGCTAATTGTATTTTTTTTACATTCAGTTATAATTCATATGCCGAGAGCGCATATCTTCACTTTAATATATTTATTTATATTTTAAAAAAAAATAGAAACATTTTTTTTATAAATTAAAGATAGGAAAAATATGAGCTCTTTTTTTTTTGTTCTAGTATAATAGTTTTGGCAACAACTGATACTAAGTGAGAATTAAGAGAGTGCCATCAATGCAGAGTTATCTAACCTTGGTTCTTATTGTTTCCACTAGGCTAGCCTCAGTTTAGATCGCCAGGTGTCGTCGTACCAACAAGATGGCGCAAGCGGTGAGGCAGCAACTTAACCAGTTGGCTAGTATGTCTCATTCTGGGACTTCTCATAAAGATGTCACAGAACGGTAAGATTATATCTATACCTACCAAGCGTGTTTAAGTCCTTAACGTAAAAGTTGGCGACGACTATTGCCTGTATATCATTTCCTTTCTTTCACCCTCTCCAGAGATTAAAAAAAAAATAACTTTGTTTTTTTTTTTTTCCTCTCTGAGTGTGGATGTATTTTATTGGTATTTAATTTTTAATGTATATCAATTATGTTTTAAATTAATCCTCTATTTTTTAAAGATATTTGAATAATTCGTTATCGACACTATACGGCTAATGGGTTAGTTATTTATTTATAAACCGTATTTTATATAACAAAATAAATAATTTTGCCAAAACATACAAACTATTGAAGTCGAGTTTTAAGCTCAAACGTTTTTCCCTCGTTTCTTTTTCTTTTAAGAAAAAAAAAAAAAGATTCTTTTATTTTTATATATTTATTTAAAAAAAAAATAAGTAAATAAAAAAAACCGCTTTGAACATTAATTTTTCTTTCCAAATTTTAATGTTTCTTTCTTTAAAAAAAAATTATAATTTTTTTCTTCCTCTAAGACTTATTATTCCTTCATTATTTCGAAACAAAAATTCATTCTACAAGAATAAGTTTCTTTCCGTTTTTGTTTTTCTAAAATAAATTGGATCCGTTATTATTGAGTAAGTAAAATTCCTTAAGAAAAAAAAAAGACTTGATGCTTTTTATATCTTTTACTATCGATTTTTGTTGCTAAGTTGACTCTCAGATTTTTTTCTGGATTTCATTCTGTTCTTTAAAGCTTCTATTTTGACAGCCAAAAAAATGGTAAAGTCTTCTACATATTTGTCATTCTAAAATATCTCTAGTCTACACATTATAAATCATTATTATTATATGATTATTGATAGGGATACCAGCTTTAATAGCCGTTGCATTTAAGTAAATATAGCTATATAATTTATTAGTTATTTTGAGACGAAATGAAAGAAGATTCATTGAAGCGAAATTTATTAAGACGAAATAAGAATTTACTGAAAATACTAGAAATTTTGTTAAGAGAGGAAATGTTTATATCTTCTTAACTAAAAAAAATCTGTTTTAACGGCTACTCTTTAAAAATTAAATAGTATGAAAGTTGGATTGTCATTTGGCTTAGGATGATGTGAAAATTATTATCAGCCGGTGCCTAATGCAAAACACGTGTTTGTCGTTATTTGTTGATTTCGTTTCGGTTTATTTTATATATATATATATATATATATATTCTATGATAACTTAAGATTTTGAATCAACATTTTCAAGTTTACGTGGAGTTCTTTTTTTCTTATTACTAAGTAAACACACACACACACCAAACCACGAATATTTAAAAAAAAAAAAAAAAATGATTCAGTTTAAAAAATATTTTTATGAAAGGGGGGGGGGTCCAGTTTGCTATGAAAATTAATTGTAAAAAAAAAATTGAGCTAATATCACAAATGTAAAATAAATAGTAATAAAAATTGAAATTTTTTTTTTTGCATATTTATCGATTAAGTACTCAGATTATTACGAATTTAGTATTTTTTTTTTTTTTTAAGAGAACACGTCATATGAGCAGATTTGTTTTGGTTTCTGTAAGATTGGAGTGATTTTTTTTTACAATGAATTTATTCTATTGGACTCCTTATTAACTTTAAAAAAAAAAAAAAAATTAATATTCATTATTTTGGGTGTTTAATTTAAGAAAAAGATTTTCTGGTAGCATTGCTTATAAAACGCCACTGTTTACTTAAGTGAAAGCTTGTTAAATTTTTTTTCCTAATGATTTTTATCAAGTTTTGTTAAAACTGAAATTTGATTAAAATTAAAAAAAGAAAATAATGCAATTTGATTTAAAGATTAAATTAATCTTTTTAAAGTTCAGAAAATATTTAAATTAATATTACAGTAAAAACCATCTTACAAGTTCTGATTTATTCTTGAAGCTATTCACATGAAATGCAATTTGTGTGTGTAAAATACTTTCGACTTTTCATGGTGAGCACAGATACTCAACTACTCTAATTATAGGCAGAAGTACCAGGTTGCAATACTTTGATTTGAGCTAAAGCAAACAGATAATCTAGTTGCAAGAAGAGATGTCAGTCTAATATAAATAATCTGGTCGGTTTTTATGGTTACTACGCTAGTTTTGAATGAATTGGTTATTATTATTATGACTATGGAGTAGTGGAAATTTTAGATAGAACAAATACTCTGTTTATTATATAATTATGAATAAAGATTAAAGTAAACAAACCTTTAAGTTTCTATTTTCATTATATTGTGAAATATGAGTTATCTATTAATACTAGAAAGATTATATTGCATTGTGGAATAAGTTGATTGGAAATTTCATTCTACTTGTCAAGCAAATATGAATTTCAAATGTAAAAAAAAAAAAAACAAAAAAAAAAACGGCAACTCTTATTTTTTTTATGTAAACAGCAATAGTAATTTTGTCAAATGTCACAAGGCAAACATCATGTCAGTGAATAGTTCTATGAAGGTTTTGAAAGGAATAGATTATAATCAATCAAAAACCTTTGAAATTCAAAAAACAGCACTTGCTTTTCTTACACAGTTTTAACAGCATTTGGAAAGGAATCAAAAAGTACTTAGAGCAACAAAAGAAAGGAATTTGTGGAAAAGATTTTTTTTTTTTTAAATACTAAAGTTCACCCACTACAAGGCTCAAGCACCATATAAGGTTAAGGGTTACAATTACCAACAACAATAATGCTGGATGGGGGGGGGTGATATGAATTGGAAGAAAAGGGAGTAAGAAATGATGATTGATCCTTGACGAAGAGGCCAAATTGAAGATTGGAAGAATCTGTTCCAAAAGGGGGCAGTGTTTTAGGTGGGCCTTTCTTACATTTGGGACATGTAAGAAATGCTTTGCTGCATAGTGTTTCCTTGCTGTAAAGGTCTCAATTGATGGAAATAAAGAATGAAGCTCATCTGAACATGTCATGGAAACAGCAATAAAAAAGTGACAGGCTTGCAATGTTGTGCATGTGTGGGGAAGAGGTTACAGAGTGGGGAACAAGACCATGGATATGATTTTGAATTCTGGAAAGTAAGGCGTGAGTAGCTTCAACCTAGATATGGTTATCACAGTATAATTCTTTGTTTTTGGTCTAATATGATTCTTGTAAGGGTAAATTATGGCAAGTGGAGTCTGAGACTTCCTGAAGCAATAGAATGAGCCAACTTTTTTCCCAGCATTATAGGAGTTCCACTTGAAGTCTTGAAGTGAACTTTAAACCAAAGATGTTCAAAGCATGGAGCCTCATTGATAGTACACATGTTCATCAAAATTGGGGAAAAAGACTGGATCTGATTGGTGATGATGAAATAATATCAGCTTGGTTAACACATGAAAGAAGAGTTTTCATCAGAATGACTTAGTGTTTTATCAACTTTAACCAGGGATCACTTATGGCCACATTATATGGAAATACCTATTCCCATATGATCATCAAAGTTAAGCAACATTGAGTCTGGTCAGTACCTAGATGGGTGATATATTAATAATGATATCAGCTTGGTTAACACATAAAAGAAGAAATCTCATAAAAACGACTTAGTGCTTCATCAACTTTAATTTATGGCCACATCACATTTAAACACCTGTTCTCGTATGATCACTGAAGTTAAGCAATATCAAACCTGGTCAGTATCTAGATGGGTGACCACTTGGGAATACCTGGAGTTATAGATAATGGCTCAGAATTGTTAATCTGAGCGCCAAGTTCCAATTCCAATTGGGTTCATTGTATTCACTTATGTGCAAATACCCTTGGGAAAAGTATGAATCCACATCTTCCCCTGCTAAGTGTTTATCATTATGACTTGTATCACTAAACCATTATTAATGCCACCCCCTCCAAAATTCTTACACTCTAAAAATATTTTCTGGGTTTGAATAATCTGCAGTGGGTTGATAAGCTGTAAAAAATGAAATCAATCATTTAACCAACGATTATCTCTGTCAAGCTCTGCATTTACCTCTTCTGGTTTTATATATATATATATATATATATATATATATATATATATATATAGTAACATTATGTAAAAGTTGATCATTTTGTATTAAATCAAAGATTTAGGCAGCAACTGGTTTTTCCATGCCAAGTAAGCAGTTAGCAAGATGTCTGCAAGTACTGTTGAGAAGGTTTTTCATGTGACTGAATTAAGCAAAAGGAATTTTCTTACTGTTGGGCATGACATTTTCAAACACATTTCAGGAAATCCCTCCAGCTCTCTAATCCATATCTAATTACATCAGACACAGATTTGCCCATCGAGCATTTGTAAGATGTATCTAAGGTTTTTCTACAAAGTTTTGCATCATAAGAGCCAATATCTTAAATAATCCGTAGACATACTCTTGTCACATCATTAAATATTGAGCTGGTCATTATTTTAAGTGGATAGAAATGAAACGATTTGAAATTGACAACTTTTTCCATTTCACTGAAATAGCTGTTAGACACTTTCATCTACCCTTCTTTTTTCATTCTGAAACTAAGTAGCATATGTCTTTCTTTCTTTCTTTTTTTTTATACAATCAAAACAGAATAGTTCATTATTTATGAGGTATTAGCAGATGTTAAACACTTCTTTCTTCCTAGCCAAATACCCATCTTAGAAATATTTACCTTAATAATAATTTTAAAATAATTCCGTAGATGCTGTTATTTGCTTTATGGTAAGTGGGTTTTTGCTTATTGGTTTACTCGGTTCCCATCATTTGATACAGTGCATTTGAAAATTGGCGCTTTTATTGCAGTCGCATCTACAATTGAGAAGAACTTACCTTAGCTTAACATAAAATTTGTTACTACTTCTAAAACAATAAAAGACCTGATCAAAACAAAATAATAACAAGGTAAAACTTGTGGGAGGAATTTACTCTATCACCTGTAATAATTGCCACAAGGGAAAATATAGGAATAAAGGAGAAACTGCAAGGAATTTAAATAAAAAAAAATTATGGACACGAGGAATCTTTTACAAAATTGCTCATCGTAATGAGTGTGACCATAATTTTGATTTTAAAAAAAGGCTATTTCAATTAAAAGAGAAGGAAATTTACTAAGACAAAAATGTTTAGAAAATGTTTTTTTAACTGCGATATCATCCATAGTAACTCTACATCCAGATTCTTGCAAAATTTCATCTTTTCTTTGCAGATCTTCTATTATCACAGTGTAAGATATTTAATAGTAAAAGGGATATAAAGAAAAATAAACCAAATGAAATCATCTAGACTATATACCTAAAACATTATTTTTTTTTTTAAAAATTAAAAATTTTCAGCATCCCCTTTCCTTTGTGTTCATGTGTAGCCTCATCAATGTTAACATCACTTTAGTGTGATGAAATCCTAAAGGATGACAAGACTTTTTCTACTTTGTCATTATTATAGGCCTCAGTGGAATACTGTTTTTGTGAATTTACAAAGGCTGTAGATGTATGGTAATTTACTGTTATGATGAGTCAGCTGTCAGTATTGCTTCATAATGAAGTAGTCTTTGTTTTTGTTCAGGATCTGTTACAGCTGCTTCTTGATTGATGATATCTTTATCTGACTTGGATTAAATTCCTAAAGCTTATTCATCATAGTTACAACGGCTTGAATTTCCTCCCTCAATTGATGATTTATCCTGGTCCACAAGTCTTTACCCCTTACGCCCTTGTCATTCACCTGCCAAGTGTCACTCTGTTCAAAATCTTCCTGTAATTATAAGCTTTCTTTTGCTGTCATACTTAAGTTGGTTTAATTTTGACAGGTGTTTTTGTTTTTCATGGCATTAGACACAAATGCAAAAACTTTGCTTACAATAAACTTTCACGCCCTCTTTCTCATTTTCTTGCATTACACTGAAACTCACAGTAAAAGACAAGTCTAGAATCTCTGTAGGGTAAATGATACCCATATTAACAAAATAACTAAGCTTCATACTAAGCTGAAAATAATCAGTTTTCTTGAAACCACAATATTAAAATCTCTTTGATATTACCAAAAATCCTAATTTTAAATATAAAAACAATCCAGAAATTTGTTTTGGTTACTAAGATGCAAGGAAATACAGGAAAACTAATGTATAAGCATTAATTTTTCCTGTGTTGTATATTTTCTTAGAATTACTTAAATGCTAGAAATTGTGCACCCCCCAAGAATTTTTCTATCATACTTAGAAGTATCAAGTTATTTCTTGAACTACAAGTATCACTACAGTTGTACAAATGCGTTCTTTATAGGATCCATTATGGTCTTAAATTTTATCCTGATTATATGTAAATACTGAAATAAGCATTTAGAATTGTTTAAAAATAAACCTCATTCTTCTTGCTTGTATTGTTAAAAAAAAGTGCCGTATATAAAGACCTAATTTAGAAGTTAATTTTAGTGGGGGTTGCATCATACACAAGATATAAAATTAGCGTATGTACTACTGGCTCTGACTATGCTGTTGACCAAACTATTTATACATTTACGCTAGTCAAAATGTAGAGCTGTATTTAAAATAAACATGATTTTGATAAAACTGATGTTTTACTTAACTGTATCCAATAATAATGCATGTAATATTCATATATTAGTATCGTATTATAAAATACAAACATAGCGAATATGCATCTTTTACATTACGTTTATAAGATGTTTAGCAGTTTCTCGTTTGGTTGTTTATGGCTGTACGCATTCGCACAAGTATAGCGTTACTAATGATACTTTTATCGGTCCTTTTTACTTTAACTTAATTTAACTAGAAGATGGGATAAAGAGATAGAGGAAAAGAGGTTAGTCTATTGTAATTTGGTCTCTCAAAAAAGGAACTCGCATGATACACAAGATACATGATAAAATCATTTTTTATATGTGAAAATTTGGGGGTTGCATGATATGAGATTGCACGTTACACAAATATATACAGTACCTTAAATATAATATATCCATATAAAGTGACACTAATCAAAAATGTGTTTTGTTTGACAAACTCGTAAATTACAATAAAGCTCTAAATTTGCAACTGTAATATTTAAAAGTAAGATTTAAGAGAAAAATGTTTAAATTGACATTTTATATTCTTCATGGAACTAATAGAGAATTATAGTTTCTTTGCAATCTATCAGAAACATTTTTCTCTTAAATTTGTTGTGTATAGCATTTTAAATATGCATATATGGCCAAGTGATGTTACAAAACAAATCCTGTAAAGAATGCATTTGTACAACTGTTGCAATGCTTGCAGATTTTCTTGTTTCTATAGAAATTAAAGTTATACCTTGTTTGAATTCTTTTTATCTGTCTGTCACTGTGTGTGTGTGTGTGTCTTCCCCCAATATGTTTTATAGAGGGTTATGCTAAATAGTTGCTTGCTTTTTTTTATTCTCATCTTCAAATTATGATCTGATCTACTGGGCTAAACAGGATATGAGATGTAATTTTTATATAAACTCATTTTAAATACTAAAGATGAGACTTAATGGAAAAAAAAGAAATTATATTCGAATAAAAAGAATATCATTGAATTAAAACAAAAAAAATTTTTTTCATCTATTTTAAAAACTTCTAAATATATCCTCAAAAATTTGTTATATATGCAACAAAGGCAAAAAACTTTCTATGAATATTTTCATAATTCATCAAATTGATTTGAAAATCTTGTGGAATTGTTATATTTTGGTATGACAAAAGAAAATCTGCTACATTGAATTTTGTGTAAGAATGTGTATTTCAAAGTGTTATACTGTAAAACAAATACTCATACAAACAGCACATACAATGACTATACAGTTTTGTAAATAGCACATGTAGATAAAAACACAAGTAATGAAAATGAAATTATTATTAACAAATGTATAACACAAAAGTATAAAAACAATGATATAATTTTATAACAAATCTTTATTGAATTTTTAGTTCATTTTATTAAACCATAAATTAGATTGTTTAATTTGCCAAATATTGAAAGTTTTTTTAAAGTTATTTTTTTATTTTATTTTCTAGATATAAAGCCATTTTAGAGACAACAATCAAAACTCAAGGAGATGAGCTGATTCCATCATTACATGCTTTTGTTGAGGCCTGTAAGTAATCCCAGATTATTCATTTGGATGCCTAAATGAAAACTGATGCAGTTAAAATTTCCAATGTATCTTGATTGATTATACAGATCATATTGAAGTCATATCAATGTCATCCCAATGACTATTTACAAACTAGTATATAAAGTTTTATTTCCATATTTTGATTTTTATTGGTATTAAGTGAGAATTTATTTTAAACTTGAACTCTGAAAGATAATCTAGGCTTTTTGAGCATATTAATAATATATGAAATTACAATTAATATTTGTCATACATGCACATATATAAACGTGTGTGTGTTTTATCATAGTTCTATCAAGGTTATTGCCACTTGTAGACTAAATCTGTGTGAAAGGTAGACAACGAACTATTGTAACAGCCTAACAATTTTGAAGCTGAATTTGTGTTAACCTTTAGCACTCAGTAGGTGACTATTTTCACCAAGTAAAATGTTAGTCCTGCCAATGCAAGTTGAATTTAAATTTCTTGGTTGTGTAGACATATCCTTCTATGGCAACACTTAGATAATCTTGACTGAAATTGAGAGCCAGGCTACTGCAATTTCAAATGTATAGAACTAATATGTAAAAGACTATATTGTGAAGGGATTCCATATAAAGTAAATGGGGAAGTAATATTTATAAGTGATACAGTGTGTCAAGTGTTAAAGTATCAGTTGTCATTTTGCCGGGTCAGAATGCAAAAATCAAAGGTTTGTTCTCTCATTCGTTGGTTTTTATCCATAAAATAAATAATTTTAAATGTAATGCTCAGAAGAAAATCTCCATAAATAATTCCAATGTTAATTCAACCAGCCAGACGATATTTAACTTGTGCATGCAATGCTTGTAATTGTTATTCCAATCTGTTGAAACTCAGCTGCTTTGTCTGTTTTCTGTAGATTGATCTCTTTAAGCAATAAACTGAAAAAAAGATGCATCTGTTATGCTAAGGGATGTGCAGGTGGTTTAATGGATAGTGGCTCAGAATGAGAAATCAGAGCAGAGTTCAAATTCTAGTTATGTTCATTATATTCACTTATGCTTTGGAAAAAGTATGAATCCATTTCTTCTCACCCAGCTATGGGTTAAATGGTAAGACTTGTATCTGGAAGAATCGTTATTCATAACAAAATTGGTAATGTAATATTCACCCGTTAAAAAAAAAAAAAAAAATTCTTAATCCAAGATGTTTCAGCTTTAAATAACCTACAAAGGGTTGATAAGCTGTAAAAAAAACCAAATCAATCTGTTAGGTTAGCCACCATTGTTGTCTTAGACTTTATAAAAAGTTGGCAGCCACACTTTTAACAACATAAGATATGCAGATGACACAGTGTTGATAGTAGATACAGAAAAGAAACTACAAGAACTCCTACAGAAGGTAATGAAGGAAAGTGAGGAATAAGCATTAAACATCAATTTCAAGACAATGCATGGTTGTTAGTAAAAAGGAACGGCCCAACATGCAAATTACAAATTATCAAAATCAAACAAGTACAATTATTTAAATATCTGAGAATATTTTAACAGTGGACAGAAAGTTAGACACTGAAATCTGAAGATGCATTGGCATCGTGAAAGATACCTTCCAAAAGCTAAGCAAAGTATTACAGATAAATTTTGTTAGAAAAGAGCACTGAACTGTTACATAATATCAGTCCTGTATGGCAGTGACTGCTGGACAATCTCTTCACAGATGAAGAAATATGGTTATTTACATTATTTGGACTATTGTCCTCATCTTTGTCGCCATATTTATCACAATGTTTCGGCCATTGTACGCTCCGGCCTTCTTACAGTGGTTGGAATTTCGAACTGAACTCTTTATTTCGCTCACTGTGGTAGACTGTTCTAGTTCCACGTGCCATGTTTGATGGATGTCAGTTATCAGTTATCTCTTGTTAATTTCCCTCTGAAAGTTCTCCACTGCCTTAACTGGGTATTGAACTCACACTATTTGGGTCCTGTCACTGGATCTAACCAGCCATGTGTCCTTGAGGACATCTGGGTATGAATTTCTGGGTATTATAAACCTAATGTCTTCAGCAACCATTTTTACCAGTGCTCATATTGCAATTTTTGCTGTTATCATTGCATGTTTTTTACAAGGGCTCATATTGCAACTTTGTTGTTATCATTGCTTTTCTCTGGCACTCCTTATTACTGGTTCCCATATTGTATTTATTTCTATGCTTGGTTGGCTCAGGAGATTTTTGTGGCCTAGCATATGTGCTGATTCCTTAAGTTTACTAATTTTCCAATTTTTCATTGTGATAAATATAGCGACAAAGATGAGGACAATAGTCCGAATAACGTAAATAATGTACATAATACCTCATCTCAGAAATATGGTTCTACAGAAGGATGCTGAGAATACAATGGACTGGAAATATGAGCAATGACACAGCATAAGCAAAGCATCAAGAAGAGACAGTTGAAAATTCTAGAGCACATAATGAGAAAAGAGGGCTTGGAAAATTTGATACTGACATGACATTGAAGGTGACAGAGAGACAAAGGAAAGCAATATGTAACATACATGGTGAGCTTGAGTGAATTGTAGAACAGGGTTTGGAAGAGATATAGTGAAAAGAGAGAATGTATTAAGAACTACTAAGGATAAATGACTAATTCATAATGTTTCTCACTCTGCTAAATATAAGAATTTCAATCAACAAAAGATTCTTTTCTTTTTTTTTTCTCTCTCCCTCTTCTGTTCATGTTAATGAAAATTGATTTCACATTATAAATCATGTTTCTCATTTCAGTGGTCAATGAAAATATTAGTTTAGTGATTTCCAGACAGATCCTTACAGATTTCTGCAATCATCTCACCAAATTACCAGATCCAGTGGCAAAAAATGTGGCTAAATTTACACTAGATCGTGTTTATGCTAGAGTTATTTCATTTGAAGAACAAGTGAGTATTTTAATCCTTTTAAATGTCAACGCCAGTTACTTCCCTTGAATTTTACAAGGTTTCTTTCTCAAATTTCGATTCACCTCTTTTTAAGATAGTTTTAATTCAGTGCAGTCCATTATGGAAAGCTTAATTGTTTGTGATCTTTATAAATGCAGAGGCAAGGTAGCCTCCACAATTTAAACTGATCAAATTCCTAACAATAAGGTGTTAATTGAAAATATGAAAATTATGCCTATTGTTTTAGAGCAGTATTTCCCAATGTTGCTGCTGGTGCCTCCTTGTGGGCTCTGTTATGTTGAAAGGGAGCACTGGGAGTTTTTATTTCATCTGGAGGACAATGAACATACAGGGCGGGAGCATTTATCCATTTTTTTTTTTACAAAAAAAAGTTTGTCCAAATGAGGCGCTAGTTGAAAAAAGGTTGGGAAACACTGCTTTAGAACGACTTGTACTAGAATGAGAGATCTATTGAAACTATATATGATGTATGCGTAGTGTAATGGATAAATTTACTTTCACACATGCCCTTGAGAAAGGCATGAATTCATCTCTTGTCCCTTTGGCTATGGCTCAAATAGCAACCGGGCTGAAACTCCACATACCAAACCATGGATAAGACTGAGGGGAAATCGCTCCACTATCTTCCCTTAGAATGTTTGACAATTCACAGATCAAACATTTGTGATGAGTCATGATAAGCCATGTTCTAATGAGGCATGGCATTATAAATAATAAATATATGGCAATTTCTATGTTTAAGTTTACTTATATAACAAGAAATATGATTGTTAGAAATTTAATTAGTGTATTACTATTTGTGTTTAAAAAAAACAAAAAAATCATATCCTAAATGTTTAAATCACTCTATCATTAATTCTTTGACTTCTAATCAGCCATCATCATAATCTATTTATCTTCTGATAATCTCTTCATTTCAATTATGTTTGCAAACTTGATATGGATACTTAGTTTTGTAAAATCTGCAATAACCAATTTGTTTTGATCATTCTATATGACCTGGTTAATTTTGATCTTTATAAGAAATGCAAGTTTAATTTGCTGTGATGCTGTATGGCAGTCAGCTAAATGTGGATATGTTTTTATGTTGGTTGTTAATAAGTCTTGATTAAAAGCTTTTTTAATAAATGTCCCTTTTTTTTTTTTTTTTTTTTTTTTTTCATTCAAATTGTTAGAACCATTTATGATTGTATATTTCTGGTTAAGCTTGTGTGTGTATAATATATCTAAAGTTAATTGTGTTCGAACATGATCAGATATTTCTCATAAAGCTCCTATAGATGCAGAAACACGTTCACATTTGATTACAAGATACTGCTCTCTGAGATATATATGCACACACACACAGTAATAGTAAGAACAAAAACTAAGATTTAAAATATAAAATAAACCAAAAGGTTCAATGCCAAAGTTGACAGAGCTTAAATATATTATATAATAATATATTTTACTAGCTTAAAAGCTGCCCTATCAGCTAGCATTTAAGCTAGCTTCTGCAGAAGGTTCTTGATTGAATCTTCATCACAATAGGTAGGGAGGTATAGATGTGCTTAGGCAACAGTAAACTATAGAAGAACTAATTAATCACTGCATTAATATTTAAGCTTACCTTGTAAAAGTTCAATGATAATTCTTCTGCTGCCACTTAATTTAAAGACAGTTTGATGTATGTAGGTCCTTACTTTCCATACAAACAATTATTTTTATTTCCAAGTTAAAATTGTTATTGTATAAAAAAGTTTCTTGCAAAAAAATCACCAAAAACAATTGCAGTAATGAAAACTTGAAAATCAAAACTTCAGGATTGCAGAATGTTTTTAATTTGCTCACAGTCTGTCTGATTCCTAAATGGTATATGTTGGGCTACAGCCTCTAAGAGTAATGTTGGAAACAGGCAATTTCATTTTAAAACTGTAATTTGAGAATGGTAATTTTTTTTCATTTGAACAATAGGCTATTGAAAGTTAGAGTTGTGTCCCTTAGTTTTTATCAGTAGAAGCCAAGTTGGGGGAATACAGAAACAATCTCAGTAATGAAAACTTGGGAATACCCAATTTGCTCACAGATTTGGCCCGATTCCAAAAATTGATACAAGTTTGGTTAAAGGCTAACAAAAGTATTTTAAGGATTTTTTTTTATTTATTTTGAACTATTTTCCTGGTTTTCAGTGAAAATTTAAATATAGATTGTCTGATGCCTGTAGGTTTTCATAAGCCATTATCAAAGTTTTTATTTTGTGCTATCTTTTTTTTTTTTTTTTTTTTTTTGTGCAAATATTGCAATATATATATATATATATTTTCATGTGTCAATTTGTTTTTGTTTTGTCTGTTTTACTCATGAAATATATATTTCAGAAACTAGATTAAGTCTGACATATTTTTAATTTATTTGGTTTAAACATTATTTTTTAAAAGGATACTCTTATTTGAGTAGATGCTCTGTTTTTATTTATTAAACAGTTTATTTATTTCCATCTACCAGAGGGCACATCTTTTTCTAACAAGTTTTCTCGAATATTCAGGCGGGTAGATGTAAATAAATAAATATACTGTTTAAGAAATGAAAAAAAAAACGGATCATCTATTCAAGAGTATCCATATAAAAATAACATTTAAAAGAAATAAATTTGACATACTTGGTGGGCTTAAACAAGTGGATAACAGAACGTGGTCTGGGGGAGGTGACAGAGGGACAAAACTTGTGGAGAGCCATAATCGCCTACATCTTGAAAGAATATGGCACATAAAAAGAAAGATATGTCACATTAAATAATTTAGACATGTCTTGTCTATTTATTCTTAATAGGATCCTCATATTTATGGATGATTTTCTTAGTATCCTTATTAAAGGAAAAAAAATTACTATGTTGAAGTATATCCATTTTATTCCCCATTATTTTTTACATGAGCACAATGTCATCTTCAGGGTCTTGTTTTTACTAAGACAAAATTGCAAGAATTTTTATATATAATTGGATAAATCCATATTGAAGAGTTAGTTTAATGTACTGTTATTTATGTGAGTTATACTGCTTCTAATATTGGTTTCATTTATCCATTGTCAAATCTAACAAAATGTCACAAACTTTTATTTTTATCAAGTACTTTATTTTTATAAATAATCAAGGTAGATATACTTTATAGTGGATGCTATTATTTTGAGGTACTATTTAAAAAAAAAAAAAAAAAACATATTTGCAGCCATCAGAAATAGTTTTGTCATGTTTTGCAAGTTTTTTTCTTTTTCATCTTGTGTAAGCTTTCATGACACAATAAATACCTTATATTGATTTCCACTGGGGAAATCAAAGTAATACATTTATAGTAAAATGAATGACTTTATACGGTTTGTCAATTACATGGTTTAACTGAAATCACAACCCTTGTCCCATTTTGCATTTATTTCTGTTTTTGTTCTATTTCAGGTTGCTTCAATTCGACAACATTTGGCCAATATTTATGAACGTGAGAAATCGTGGGCAGAGGCAGCCCAAGTGTTGGTTGGCATTCCACTAGAGACTGGACAAAAGTATTGCTGATTTCACTTTCTTTATTTTCTGTATAATCATTCACTTTTTTTTTCTAAGTCATGACTGAATCTTGAGAAGATCAGATTGTTTTTTTCTTCAAAACAAAGCAATTTCTGTGTTCTTCATTTCAAAATAATCTTTGCTCTTTTTTCTGATAACATCTGATTCATAAGAAATTATCACTTAAAATCTTCATAATTATTGTGCTTGAGATTAAAAGGAAAGAATATTGGCTGATGTACACTCTAGGCCAAAATTTTGGGGCCCGCCGACTGGATTAAATAATTAGTAAGTAGTTTAACTAACACCTACTAAGCTAGGATGCTGGAACTATTTAACCTATTTAAAATTCACCAGCTCTAAAATTAACATTAGCCAGGAAGGTAGATTAGGCAGAAAGCTAAAACTTTAGGAAATTTTATGCTGTAATAGGTTAATTTTGTCGTTATAATTATGCTTGTCCCCCACCCTTTGATAGTTTGCATGACTGTTACTTCCTGCTAATACCTTATAAATAATGGACTATTCTGTTCTGACTGCATGGAAAGACGGGGGGGGGGAAGACACTACTTGGTAATACCTTATAAATAATGGACTATTCTGTTCTGACTGCATGGAAAGAGGTGGGGAAAAGACACTACTTGGTAATACCTTATAAATAATGGACTATTCTGTTCTGACTGCATGGAAAGAGCGGGGAAAAGACACTTCTGTTCTGACTGCATGGAAAGAGGGGGGAAAAGACACTTCTGTTCTGACTGCATGGAAAGAGGGGGGAAAAGACACTTCTGTTCTGACTGCATGGAAAGAGGGGGGAAAAGACACTTCTGTTCTGACTGCATGGAAAGAGGGGGGAAAAGACACTTCTGTTCTGACTGCATGGAAAGAGGGGAAAAAGACACTTCTGTTCTGACTGCATGGAAAGGGGGGGAAAAGACACTTCTGTTCTGACTGCATGGAAAGAGGGGGGGAAAAGACACTTCTGTTCTGACTGCATGGAAAGAGGGGGGAAAAGACACTTGTTCTGACTGCATGGAAAGAGGGGGGAAAAGACACTTCTGTTCTGACTGCATGGAAAGAGGGGGGAAAAGACACTACTTGGTGTCAGCAAGTAAATGAAAGAAAGAAGAGAAGAAAGAAGAAAAGATAGAAGTGGAGAGATAATCAGATTAAACTGATATGAACAGATACTACACAAAAGGCTGAGAAATGTTGACAACTGATAAATGCACCACTTTTCAGATGCACAATATTGAATGATGGAAACAGAGTAAGGCAATCAAGTTACCATATTAAAATTATTATTAAGCAAAATGTCTGTAAGACAGGGATTTGGATAGTTATTATTATTGAATATATGATAAAACATTTCAGGGGGAGAAGGTCCTTCCTGCTCAAAGTGAGCTAGTAAATTAGTTTTGAAAAAGACAAACAACCTTCAATTTTTACATGATTTTTTTTTTTTTTTTTTTTTCAATCCAACTAGTGGTCTCAAAACTTTTGTCCATTTGTGTAAATGGTTAAGTATTTTAGATTTTGTTGATTTCAATGCATGTTGAATTTACTAATCGTTAAGTTTGTACATTTAATTTTAGTCTATGAAAGAATAACTTTTACTTATAATTTCCATATTCAGGATAATTGAGCCATTATTATAAAAAGACTACTTGGCTTAATATAGTGATTATGTGCTTAAATGTCATGTTTATATTATGAAACAAAAGGTTGATCTTGTTTGCCAATAACTTGTTAGTAATTTTCATCCCAGTAAGGTAAATGGATCGATGAATGCCATCCTCCCTTTTGTATGTATTTTGTTTGTGGTTTTACAAATTACAAGAATGATGTCTGATTGAAGACTTTGATGTATGTTATAGGCAATATTCTACAGATTACAAACTGAAGACCTACCTCAAAATTGCCCGCCTTTATCTTGAAAACGAAGATCCTGTCCAAGCTGAAGCTTACATCAATAGGGCATCGTTGCTACAGGCTGACTCCCAAAATGAAGATCTCCAAATTCGTTACAAGGTAAATGAGAAGTTGAGGGGCCTACAGGAAAAGAAAAAAAACAAAAGCCCACCATTTTTTATATATGATGAATTCATAATCATTGACAACCCCCTCTTATACATATGCATATTGAAAACATGTAAACTACCTCTCTGTTCAGTTTGCCTATCATCCGGTTCACACTCCTTCCTGGTCTTTTGAATAGAAGTAGAGGTTTATCCCTTGTCTCCTGTTTAGGATTGAGTTTCTGGTTCCTTCTAAACTCTACTACAACACTATAATTCTAACGGGATAACATAGGAGCAGATTGAGTTGCCTATCGTCCGGTTCACACACCTCCTCAATCTTTTGAACAGGAGTTGAGGTTTATCTCTTGTTTCCCGTTTAGGATGAGGTTTTCATTTTCCTCTGAAATCTTTTCCTTCTCTTTCACTTCCATTGACTCCATTGCATCTTGTTGGTATTATCAACTTGTTTGGGTGGTGCCTCTTACTCTGTAACCCTCTACCTCAATAGGCTTTTGTGCCTTGTACAGTGTGAACATCATTGTAAAAAGAAAAGAAAAAAGTTAGCATATGTTTACACCATAAAAATTGGAATAGACTGATTGATAAGAGTTACGGTTCTTGGCTCAATTTCCAATTTTAATTTTTCTTCCTCTCTGAATAGAGAGCTATATAAATTGCAATGTATTCAAATTCCCTGTGGTGAAATAGAGCAAAGGAAAGACAACAGATGATAAAGTAAAAAATGGTTGCATATTTTTTTTTATTACTTGTTCCTTTTTGCATGTTTCTTTCTACAGGGTGTAATGGATAAATTGTTTAATTTATGCAAAAATGAGAATAACACTGACATCTCATTTTATCATATATTTACCAAAATTACATAAAAATATCTTGAAATACTAGAGTAAATTTTTTCAATAAAATTTGCCATTGGCTTCAACCACGGCCTCCAGACGACTTTGGAATCTCCTGCAACTCTTCAGAACAGTCTCCTTGTTTAAGTTGGTGAATGCTACCATAATCCTTGCCTTCATTTCATCTTTGGTGCTACAAGGAGTTTTGTTGGGCTCTCAGCTGCACCCCACACACAATAATCAAGGAGGTTGCAGTCGAATTAGGTGGCCAGATATGTAAGAGGTGATGTGGTCACAGAAATTGTCTGACAGCCATGACTGGGTTCTCCTGCTTGTGTGGCATATAGTGTAGAGTCCTGTTGCCAGACATAGGGTCTTCCAGCAGCACTACCTCCTCAAAGCACTTGATGTAGGCCTCCGTGTTGAGTCTGAGGACCTCACCAACAAATTTAGTTCTTCTTTTCTTATCAGAGGGAGCTTTCCTGTATCTTCTGTAATTACCATTTACTCATCCAACTCTTTCTGAATCCTCTGCACTGTCCTCAGATTGACCCCCAAACTCTGAAATGTTCATTGTATTGGAGCTTCCGGTGCAAATGCCAAGCAGTACAGCATGTTCTTTTCCAATCTCTGATGGAGTGAATTGTATCATGGTGCTCTTTTTCTCACAGACGGTGCCCAACTGACTCTACTTTAGTCTGCAGTCGACAAAATCAAAAAACAACACGCATGCACAAAATTAAAAACATAAAATGGCAACAATTTACTCACTGCATCCTGTATATAATAGTAAAATTCTAACTTACGTGTGTGTTCCTCACATACAGCTTAAATGATACATAATACCCCAACCAATTTTGTACCTTGTACCCCTGCTGAGCACGGTGACAAACCATGTATGTATGTACATGTGTGTGTATATATACATATATATATATATATATATATATATATATATATATATATATATATATATATATATATATATATATATATATAAAGCAAATATATGGATATAGATCCGACAGTATGAAAAAAATATATACGAAAAAAAAACAAAAATATATACGGAAAAAAACAAACAAAAATCCTTATATGCAATTATGCTGTTTTAATGTTAATATGTCAACGTCACACGGTGAATACTAGACCTGGCTTCTTTAGTATTTCCCCTTTTCTAGCGAGATTAATGCTCGACAAGCGTACATGTAAATTTTAGATCAAAATAGAATTCTTTTCCATTTTCATTCAAAATACTCAAATTTTAGGAATACGTTTTCACAGCGTCGCCGACAACGTGACCATGTTTAAACGGAGCACTGATCTTATAAAACTTTCAGTTATCTGTTTGGATAAGTCTTGTTCTTATGTCCATCGTCTTTGTCATGTTGAATTGATAATTATATTTTATGAATATGTCCTGAAGATGGTTTATCAGACCGAAACGTCTGACGTTGACATATTAACATTAAAACAGCATAATTGCATATAAGGATTTTTGTTTGTTTTTTTCTGTATATATTTTTTTTTCATATATATATATATATATATATATATATATTCAAAAATCTAACAGAAACATGTTATAACATCATTACAAAAACATATATATATAGAGATAGAGAGTTTAGAGTGGCGGCAAACATCTCATGATTTTACAGTTAAAATGGGTAAATATAATTGTAAATTCTATGTTAATAGTTTCTTCTATCGCATTTCTCACATGTGGAACTCTTTTGGCTCCATGCTTTCCAATTCAAAAGTTGATCTTCAAAAATTTTAATGCAAGATCAATTGTTATCTTTTTCTTAATTCATGTTCTTTTCTTGTTCTCTCTCCCTCTCTTCTTAATAGTATTGTTTATTTTTTCCTCATATTCTCTAGCACTCAGTCACCCTTTACCTTTTAGCAGCTTCATTGCCTTGCTTGGGATGAATTGATTAAAAAAAAAAAAAAAACACTTGCATATTATATTCCCACTATTATGGATTATAAACATTCATAATACATATAACAACATTATTAAATAAATTTAAATTTTCATAACACAACATATTTATACAATTTACTACATTAGAGCTTTTTTTTATAAACAACTACCTGAAAGGTGAAGAAGCTACAACTTTCACATGGTTTGATGGTAAATTAATAGATGCACACTGATTTGTTGCAATTACACATTTTGAAATAAATATGAGGAAGATATACTTATTATTTTGAAAAAGTTTACACCTATTTTAAGCTATTACTCAAAATTTTCATGCAATGTGTTAACTATGGAGCAAGAAACTGTCTTCTACTCTCTTTACTATTAATTATTAATTTTGTATTCAAAATACATTATATCTTTTTTAATGTAAAGAAGTAAGATATATTGATATGGTAAAATAATTTATTTTCATACTTTAAATCAAGATATATTTGTATTAATGTGTTTTTGGTACTTTTCATTTCTTTTGGGGATGGAAAAATTATTTATTATTAACTAATAATTAATAAAAAATATTCTTATTAATTTGAAAAGGTCTACATCTGTTTTAAGCTAGAACTTCAAAATTTGAAGCGAAAAAAATCCATCCACCCACTCATTATCAATCTATTATGCGAAATGAGCAGCACTATTTGCAAACATAAAAACATTATACTGTGTTGGATTCCTAGCCACATCGGAGTTGGAGTTAACAATAAAGCAGACCTAGCAGCCAAATCAGCTTTAGATATGGATGTAGACACAGGGATCAAAATTCCATACACTGACTTTAAGGGGGTCATTAACAAATATATTTAAAAGGAATAACAATGGTGATGGGAGCATAACCCACGTAATAAACTCTTCGTAATTCAACCCAAACTAGGAGAATGGAAGTTGGTTTTCAGAAAATCTCAAAAGCAATAAGTAGTATTGGCTTGCTTACACATTGGCCACACAAGTATAACCCACTACTAAACAAGGAAGATCAACCAGTGTGCGAAGCATGTGAAACAACATACACTATTAAACGTATATTAACCGAGTGTTCAGACCTTGCTCTCTCATTGCAAAAATGCTATAATATAAACAACATGTATGATCTCTTTGAGAAAACAAAAATGGATGGCATATCATTTCTTAAAATGGTCAGCCTCTACTAAAAAATATAAACCAAATGAGAATGTCAATAAAACCAATTTCTCTACAAACTATATATCTGAAAAGAATATATCAATGAAACCAGGCTTTCGACAAAAACACTCTTTACAAAAATGCGTCAAGGAAACTGGATCTGCAAACTGATTTCTTACAAAGAATACACATTCTATTCACATGAACCTATCCTAAAAATCTTGTCAGCATTAAATAGCCTATTGAGGTTGATATGCCATAAACAAAGTAAACTAAACCCAACCTGATATTGGAAAGTAAGGACTGAGTAGCTCCAGCCCAGATAATGGCAGCAATACACCATTTTTGGTCTGATCTGACTCTTGTAAAAGAGCATGTCGGAAGGAGTCTGGTAATTTCTGGTGTTAGTTTAGGTCCCAATAGACATTCCAGACAGGGGGCCTTATTGAGAGTACATCCTGACATGAGGAAATTCTAGGTTGGGAGATAAATTTTACCGTTTTTAAACTTTCAAGCAAAGTAATGCTTGGTTATATTTCTCAGTAAATTTGCATCTATTCTACCATTTTTTTTCAACATTTTCTTTTTTTTTTTGTATTGAAATCTATCACAGGTCACAGGGTAGTGTAGATCATCTCAGGCCCGAGCTGGGGGCTGTGGATATCTTAAGCTGTTCATTCTCAGCATTGCTGAAAGAATGAAGAATGCAAAGAAAAGGGTAAAAACAATACTGATTGGTATTCATAGAGCTGCAGGAGTTGTTGGAAGGTGATGTAATATGTCATCCAACCACCTTGGGGACTTGAATCTTGAATTTTTGATAGGAGATAATCATTAACATTCTCTTTTAAGGCAGTTGTGTAGTGTTTGCCATTCTATTAATATTTTCCTGGCAATTGTTCTGATGGTTCCTTGATTTTACAAATCTAAGTGCAATACTAGATTGGCAGCAAGGTCTCATTTTACAGTTGAAATGAGTAAATGTAACCATAAGTTCTATGCTAACAATTTTTTCTCTTGAAGTTTTCACTGATAGAACTCACTTGTAGCTTCTTTCTTTGCGGTCGACTTTGACGTTCAAAAATTTAAATGAAATGTCAATCATCTGTTTTCTTAATTCCTGTTCTGTTATTGTTCTCTCTCAATGTTTTCTTTTTCTCATATTCTTTCACACTCCGTAACTCTTTATGTCTTAGTGGCTTTATTGCCTTGCTTGAGGTGAAATGATTAAATATAGTCTCTTTAATGAGCTCCAAGATAAAGTGAATATTTTTTTTATTGTTTCTCTTTACACTAAAATGTTCGACTATTGTCTTATATCGTTTTCTTTCTCTAGGACTGCTATGCACGAGTATTAGATTACAGAAGGAAGTTTATTGAAGCAGCTCAACGCTACAATGAATTGTCATCCATCATTGCAGAAAATGAGAGAATGAATGCTTTGAAAAAAGCACTTATCTGCACCATCTTGGCCTCTGCAGGTAATTAAAAAAAATACATCTAGACCAAGGGTTCTTAACCAGCGGAGAATTTTAGGGTTTCACAGGAGGAATTGGGGCAACAGAATGGTTGACTCAAGATGTTAACTTTTAAACTCCTCAAGTCAGCACAACCTGCAACTGAGAGGTCACACTGTGTTTTCTTTCCACTCACTCTTGTATTTCTTGCCACCACAAAAATAATCCATGTAAATGTCTATGTACTAATAAAGAAGATTAATTAAGATTTTCAATATGCGCATATTATTTGGAATGCACCTTTTGAGTTGAAAAGGGGGAGGTGAATGCCATCCTGACTTATGGTGAAAACGGTGCATTGGGCAAAATAGGTTCGGAACCATTGTTCTAGAGAAAAATTTTATTTGGGTACAAGAGTGCCTTTTTTTTTCTTTTTTTTAATCCAATAAAATGGAACTGTGTAGCTTCAAATTTCATAGATTTTTTTAGGAATATAGTAAAATATATACTTCACTCAACATTTTAAAAAGCAATTTTTGTATATAAAAATAAATTTAATGTGATTGTTTCCATGTAACTTCAATGTGCATCTTGTAAATTGCTTCTGACACTCGCATACCCACTTCAGTTTTGTTTAAAGCAAGACAAATAACTACAGCAATGCACTTAACTCAGTTTTCTGGTTTGTCGCAGAGTTTAGCAATGTTCAGCTTGGTCAGTACCTTAATGGGTGACCACTTGGGAATACCGGGTGCTGTAAGCTTGATGCGCAGGTGGTGTAAAGAATGATAGCTTGAGAATTGTTAATTGGAGAGCCAAGTTCCAATTCCAATTGGGTTTGTTATATTCACTTACGTGCAAATACCCTGGGGAAAGGCATGAATCCACCTCTTCTCTCCCCAGCTGTGGGCTAATTAGTAAGACTTCACTAAAACCATTATTAAATCCAAAGAATATTCATACAATCTAAAAATATTTTCTGGCTTTAAATAACCTGCAAAGGGTTGATAAGCTGTAGAAAACGAATCAATTATATCAAATCAAATTTTTTTTTATCCTCCAACATTTGGTAAAAAGTCAATTCTTAGTAAAAAAAATTGAATTTTTCTTTGATTTCTTCCTTAATGACATGACAAGTTTCAGATTTTATTTGTAATAGTATTTTTGGTTTATGTTTCACTCATCTCATTCTGTTTGCTTTTTGTTGAAACTCTGTGTATTTTTATTTTAGATTTATTTAATGACTATTAAGTAGCAACCTCAATTTGGAAATAAAGGCCTCTGGCAAGATTTGATCTTGTATTCGATTGTCAGCAGCCTGATAAAAGTAGAAAATTAATAAGAATAATAACAATTCTTCATTCTATCAGTGGGGCTGAGAATATGCAGACTGTATCTCTCTGCATTCGAGTAACACCCCCCCCCAAAAAAACACCATCTACATAGTAAATACCTACTGACTCAAGCTATGAATTTTTACCTCTCTCAAAATCAAGTAAATATTTATAGAAACAAATATTTTAAAAAGACTGATTTTGACATTAAAGAACCCAACAAGGGTTGACATGGCATCAAATCAATCCTTTATTAAACAAACATTTGGGTAACTAGTTAGATCTTTTTTTTTTCATCTGGAATTTTAGTGCATAACAGACTTTTAACCAAGTTCTTTTTATTTAGGGCAGTGGTTCCCAACCTTTTTTGTGTCATCATCGCCCACTTTCACATGGAAAAATTTTCCAACACCCACCTGCATAGTAAATATTCAAAAGCATATAGTGATAGATAAATTGTTTTGGTTGGTACTTTTCCTGCTTTGATAAATTCAAAATGGCCAGGAAAAAAGTACACAATAAGAACTTGAAACTAGCCCAAATCAAATATTACCAAACAAATAACCTGAACAAACTCTTTACCATGGTCAATTCAGATAACATTTTTAAATTCTTAAAAGAAACACACCCATTTTACCAAAATCTGAAAAAAAGCCTTGTAACAATTAACATAAGTACAGTTTATAAATACAAAAGCTAAATACAACTTTTGAAACAGCTATGTTAAAAAAAAATTAATTAATTTCACTAGGAAATAACACAAATATAAAATCCCAATCCTACTTGATTTGGCATTAGATGACTCTCTAGGAGTTGATATACCATTAAACAAATCAAGATGGCCAATGCGATAAGAAAAAGTAAAAACAATTTTATATTGAATCAAAATTATCCTTATTTCTTAATTTTACTGTTAATTCACATGAAGAACTGTTTGAATGTTAATGGCCCATCTCAAAACTATAGAAAATACTAAAATATTCCTTGTTTGCAGGGATATTTATATCTTGGAATGTAACCTAGTTATTTAGCCTCCTGTTTCTTTTTTTTGTTTTTTAATACAGGTTCTTTGAATATCACTAATTGAATTTTTTTTTTTGGTGGGTAGCATATGTTGGAATACCTTTTTAATACTCAAGATTCTATATTGCTCACCAAAATTTCTTATTGACCACCATTTTCTGTTCAGTTGCTTATTGCCCAGGTTAGGAAACCCTGAATTAGGAGAACTTTTTCATTAGTTTTTTTTTTTTTTTTTTTTTTTTTTAGAGATGTTTTGTGTAACATAATTGACGTCATTTCGTATAAATATTTATTTTGAACAAGTAAAATTTCCACAAAGTTTACTTGTAATAATTGCATAAAATTTATTTTTATTTTATTTATTTTTTTTTTATTTTTTTTTTTTAGTAATTTTATTCATTCGTTTCTTTAAAATATACACACACATTTTATTTATTTTATTTTTCCAGGTCAACAAAGATCACGAATGTTAGCAACTTTGTTTAAAGATGAAAGGTGCCAACGTCTCCCTGCTTATAATATATTAGAAAAAATGTAAGTAATTTTTTTATTTATTATTAAAACAAATATTTTGGGTACTCAAGTGCCAATTGACTAACTAAGGAGTTATCATTATTTTTATGCAGACTATTGTCCTCATCTTTGTTGTTGTTATCACAATGTTTTGGGCATTGTTCCCTCCATCAATCAAGATAATGTACAGGGAATTTCTAATTGAACACTTTATTTAATCTATGGAGGTAGATTGTTCTTGTTCTGCTGTCCCTGTTTAAGTATATCTTGTCTAGTTGTTAATACTGTTCAGTTATTGCTTGCCCTGTTTCCCCTAACAAGTACACACTGTGCTCAGCTCAGGAATTGAACTCACAATTACTGTCAACAAATTCACAAACCAGTGCTTTAATTCCCTAGGCTATTGTGCCATGCAACAATTCTGTGTGGAGAACTTGGAGCCTTAAACCTAACCTGCCTGTTGATGAAGGCTTGAAGGACTCTATGGCTGAAACGTGATAACAACAACAAAGATGATGACTATAGTTTCCATCTAAATAAAGTTCTTAAATCAACTCATTTATTTTTTATTACTTTTTTAATCTATTTACTTTTTTAAAAGCTTTTTGAACCATATTTAAGTGTGATCAAATTTGTTTAAAAAGTCACTATCTGTTCTTGAATGTTGAATATTTGAGCATCCTTGATGAATTTCAACAGCAAAATAAGATTTTAATTTTAAGAAATAGTCAGATGTTTATATTTATGCTTCAGATTGAAAACAAAATATGTGGCCAAAGAAAAAATAACATCTTTTAAAATTTAATTCACTTGCTAACATTTCTAAAAATCATCTAAAGGAATATATTTGACCATTATTTTATAACACTGAATTCATTTCTCTTAATGATTTTAGGTATTTGGACCGTATTATACGAAGTAATGATCTCCAAGAATTCTCAGAAATGCTCCAACAGCATCAGAAAGCAATCACAGCTGATGGTAAATGCTTGTCAAAATTCAGTTTCATCAAAAACTTTGTGTATACAATGTCTCTCTCTATATATACATACATATTTAGTTTGTGTATGCCGCTTTAGGACATCACCAGAAAAGCCCACTATATGGAGATGAATAAATTACCCATCTGTATGTAGTGGACTCTTCTGATGATGTAGGGAAAATAGAATTTTCTGTTCTTTAAACTTGAATAAATTATGGTGTCTTATTTATTTATGTTTGAAATTATTTTTAGCTTGTAGATAACTTGATAGTAATTTTGTAATTGCATTGTACTTAAGGAAAGCACAAGTAGTAGACTAGTGTGTGTGTGTGTGTGTGAGCACACACACACAGAGTGTGATGGGTAAATTATCACCATTTTATATTTTTAATTTCATGCCTATGCGTCGTTTGTTTTTGATTTTCTTGACTGCACAGTATAGTAGGGTCAGTTGAACATTGTCTGTGAGAAAAAGAGCACCATGACACAATTCACTCTGACAAAAATTTGGAAACTGCATGCTGTACTATTTCAGAGTGTTTGGGTGTCGATCTGAGGACTGTGTAGAGGATTTGGAAAGAGTTGGATGAGTCTAATGGTGATTACGAAGATACAGCCGCTCGGAAAACTCACTCTGATCATTCTGATTAGAAAAGAACCTTGAATTTGTTGGTGAGAGCTTCAGACTCAACACAGAGGCCTATGTCAAGTACCTTGAGGAGGTAGTGCTGCCCTGGGTCATCTCGGATGCTACCTGAATTTTACCGAAAACAAAATAATTTCCATGCCTGAAGATGTGGCTGCTGGAAGAGCCTATGTCTGGCAACAAGACTCTGCACCATGTCACACAAGCAGGAGAACCCAGTCATGACTGTCAGGCAATCTCTGCAACCATTACATCTGGCCACCTAACTCCCCTGACTGTAATCCACTTGATTATGTGTATGGCACAGTTGAGCAAGAGACCAACAAAACTCCTTGTAACACCAAAGATGAACTGAAGGCTAGGATTATGGCAGCATTCACCAACTTAAATAAGGAGACCGTCCAGAAGAGTTAGAATGAAAAATATTTTCTGGCTTTAAATAACCTGCAAAGTGTTGATAAGCTGTATAAAACGAATCAACCAATCAAATGTATTGGTAAGGAAGGAAATGGTTGTAAAGTATTTTTTTTTTTTTTTTTTTTTTTTTTTATTATTACACTGTAGACTTATGTGTATCTGTTTATTTATATCAACAATCATCTAAGTGACAAATTTAATTTTTATTAATTATATATATATATATATATATATATATATATATATATATAGGTTGAATTTTTTTAAAATTCAAGTGTTGCGACTGCATGCTCCAAAAGTTTGTATCCATTATCAATAACACATTTTAAAAAAAAGCATATTTCGATTCACATTATATTTTTTTCGTCCAGGATGCTACCTGAATTTTACCAAAAACAATAATTTCCATGCCTGAAGATGATTGCATGTACAGTCGAAAGTACTTGTGTATTTAAGAAAGCCCTTATATAGCTTATAATTTTTAAAAAATGAGGATCATAACATTCATCAAGTGATTAGTAGGTTAATGCATCTTTAAAATTTTATTAGCAAAAGGATTTTGCCATTTTATATCATTAACTTTACTAATTTACTTTTTGTGAATGAATGAGTATATTGAAATATATATATATAAAATATATATAAACACTTATATATATATATATATATATATATATATATATAAAGACTTTTTTATGCCTTAGTTGGCACTTGATATATAAATCCAAGTTGATGAGTAGGTTTTATCAGTATGTGGTTTTAATCAGGCTATTCTCAACTGGAACAATTCAAATTTCAGACTAAATTTACATTTCTAAGATATATCTCAACTGAGGTGAAGATTTTGTTTCATGTTCTGAAATGAAATCATTGTTCTGATTAGTGTCCTCATCTCTATTGTTTTTAGCATCACATGCCACCTTGCTTATATTGCATCTAGCAATTCTAAGTCTTAATCAGTTTTCTATTGGTGTTCTTGTTGTAAATTCCCCCCACCCAGTATGAATCCTCCCCCCCCAGCTATGGGTCAAATAGCAGGACATATCTGGAAAAATCATTTTTATTCTCAAAAAATTAAGGCAATATTCATTCGCAAAAAAAAAAAAAAATAATGTTCTGACAAAATGTTTTGGATTTAAATAACTCAGAAAGTGTTAAGTCATAAAAACAAAACAGTCAATCAATAGTAACTCAAGCACTCCACAGGTTCAATCCTCAAAGGTTCATGCTATATTTGAAGTTACTTATTGAGTAAGAAAAAAAAAAAAACTTCAGATTATTGAAATGCATCAAGAAATCTGTTGATGAGGAAGAAAGATGAGGATACTCGTCCCCTAAAAAGGCTTACAGACATCTTTCGATGAAATGCTGGTTCCTGTACGATCACCAAAATTAAGCAACATTGTACCTTGCCAGTACCTAGATGGGTGATTGCTTGGGAATACCAGGAGTTGTAAGCTTGGATATGCAAGAGGAGTAATGGATAATGGCTTGGAATTGTTTATGGAAGAGCCAAGTTTCAATTCCAGTTGGGTTCATTATATTCATTTATGCACAAATACCCTTGGAGAAACATGTGAATTGACCTTCCCCCCAGCCATGGGTTAATTAGTAAGTCTTGTATCACTATACTATTATCTTAAAAGAAAAAAGTCCTTACAATCTAAAAATATTTTCTAGCTTTAAATGACTTGAAAATGGTTGATAAACAATAGAAATCAAATCAATTGTCCCCAAAATTCATGAAATTTAAAAGATGTTCCTTTTATGAATACTATCTTTTTTTTTATTTTTATTTAAAAGGCATCAAATTATTCCATTCTTATAATAATAATAATGAAAATACATTTGTAAATCAGTTTTTGGAATGTCTCAGTGGGCAATGTATTTACATTTACAACATTACCATTATACTCCAGCAGAGTGGTGATGGTGGTGGCTAATATTAAGCATTGGCAAGAGGCTGTTTGTTGGGCAATCAGATTTTAAAATCATCCTAAAATGGGATTTCCTCCACTTTTTTTTTTTTTTTTTCCCCTATGGATTTGAAAAAGACTATTACTAAAACTGTAATATGAAGACAGGAAGAAATTAAAACCTTATTCATAGTTTAAATGTTTATCTTGCTTACCTTTATACATACAATTCTAAAATATCACATTGTAAAATTGATTTGCTGCCATTCTTAAAAGATACTCTGATACAGTGTCCAACGATGGATTTCAATTCCACTGTTGATTCATGAACAACTTGCTGCTCACAACTATAAAAAAAGGGTAGCAAAATATTATGGCTTTTTACATCTTTGTAAATGACTGAACTCTTGATGGTATAAAGTTGTATATATATACATTGCAAAGAGAATGTACTTTTCAAAAACTTAATTCTATTTTCAGGTTCAACAATTCTCGATCGAGCTGCCATTGAACATAATTTACTTTCTGCTAGTAAGCTCTATAATAACATATCCTTCACAGAATTGGGAGCCTTATTGGAAATTGAACCCTCAAAGGTAATACATACTTAAAGGTTATTGCCTCCATGGTAAAACTACTAAAACAACTTTGTCATTTTAATCACTTTGGAACATGTGGATTTCCTTTATTCTCAGTCGTCTTACTCTACCATAGATGATGACATTGCACAAAAACATCACTGGTCCAAATTAGTTAACAGAATACACAAGTTATGCATTCAGTCATGTTTGTCTACACAATATCTTTCGAAATTTTGCAATGAATTTCGGTGGCATTTTATAAAAGTGTGATTAAACTTTACGGGCAGATCCACAATTCGTTAGTTATTTCATATATTAAGAAAAATACATTGAAGAATCAAAACTTAGAGTTACCTCCCTTTTTAAAGATTCTATCTCTGAATTTCCAGGTACCTCCATATTTAATCAGAAATTAAAAATTCTATCAATCGTGTATTAAAAGTTTGTAGTCAAATTATCTTTTCTACTATTTTGTAAGTAGAAATGATGGAAGTAAATTCTGATAAAAATATCCTATATTAACGAATATATCAACGTTTAAAAATGTTGACTTTCTGTAAAGAGTCAGCATAAAATATTGCTTTTTGGATTGTAAAAATATCAATTTTTAAAAAATCTTCTAAAATTAATCAAATTGGAATTTTGGGGGCATTTATGCAGAAGAACTTTTTTTTAAAAAAAAGCTGCCTTTCTTCAAAATTTTAGAGAATTTTTTTTCATGAGAAAATTTGGAACCCTGAAGAAAAATTGATACAGACGGAATTTTTTTTTTATTTATATTCTATTTTCTCTGAAAAAAACAAAGATTTTCTTTGGTGGTTTTTTTTTTTTTTTTTTCTTTCTTTCTTTTTTGCTATAGTTACAATTTTATATTTTTTAAAATCTTTCTTTGTTGTTTCAAAGCTATATCCGATAGCAAGACCTCTGTTTGGAAGATGGGAGGTTTTGAGGTGCATGGAACCACCTCTTAATTGCTGTTGTTCCCAGATACATTCTGTTAGGGTCTCAGCCAGGGGCAAATAGTAAACCCTCCAAACAGAAATCAAAACACTAAAAGTTTAAAAAAAAAAAAAAAAAAAAAGCAGCAATACAATTTTATCTCTCCTCTCTCTCTCTCTCTCTCTCTCTCTATATATATATATATATATATATATATAGAGAGAGAGGGGGGTATTTATTTTATTATGCGCTGCCATTTGCTTCACAGCTGTTACATGTTTGCCCTCAGCTGATGATACAAATATTGACTCACCCAGATTGATATTTGACCTGTATTGGGATATGCCAGCTACTGCTGTTATAAAAAATGTTTTTTAATAATATTTGGGGACTTTTTGGGTGCAGTTAAATCAAGTAGAAGATTAAAGTAAATATTTCTCATAAAATTGTCTTGATGTTATGATTATTTTTATTTCTTTACAACCATTGTTGATTTTTATTTTTTTTGCTGATTAAATAAATACAGGGTGCAGCATAAATACCTCCCACACAATGGTAAGATATTAGCCAGACAAAAACACCATTGCCACTTGCCTAATTCGCTAACACCACACAGGTGACAGTTTAAAATGGTGCAAGTGTCAATGATCTCTTCATCTAGCTAATGTCTTACCATTATGTGGGAGGTAGTTATGCTGCACTCAATATTTTGACTTTGTAACCATTTAATTCTATTTTAATTAAGTGTTGTTTTTTCTTCTTTGCAAGATGGAAATTTGATCACTTGCATTTGTCGTGAAAGTAAAAATAATCAGCAAGAAATTAATTCTGTTTGGTTGATACCTGTAATAAACGAATGTTGTCAGCAGACATGTATTCTATGTATGTGCTTTCTAGTTTTAATTGTATTGGCAAGATAAATTGGTGATTGAAGTGTGTGATGAACTATTTTTGGATTCTATATAACACAAAATACTCACAATAACATTTGAAAAAAAAAAAAAAATGTTGGGCAAAATAGGTTCAAAGTTAAAGTTCAAAGTGTGCACTTTTACTGAAGATGAAATTGATAGAAATAATGTCTTTAACAAGAATGAGAAATTCTTCAAATTTCTATAGAATAATCTTTTTTTTTTTCTCCACATTTTGTGATCTTGAGTTTCATGTAAGTTTTTTTGTTCAATTTTAGGCTGAAAAAATTGCATCCCAAATGATAACTGAAGGAAGAATGACCGGTTCAGTTGATCAGATAGCCTCCATTGTACATTTTGAAAGTAAGTACAATTTATTGCTTCTGGTCTCAACAAAGTTGAACTTTTGTGCTCACAAAAAATAGTGTCAAAAGGAGGGTTTTTTTTTTTTTTTTTTTTTATTATTATTATTGATGCTACTATTAACTACCTTCACTCCTCAGCAATGTTTATTCTTTTAAAAAGTGATGATTAGAATTGTAATAACACCTAAACATATTGAAAGTGAATTTGTTTTCTGTGTTTGAGTACTGTCATAAATAGGAAAGGTTGACACACATACACAGAGAAAGTAAGAAGTAGTTTATTCCAGAGAATGTCACACAGTTGAGAAGACAAACTAATGTAATAAACAGTTAATCGTTAACTCCTTTCTATTTACTAACCTCCCTACAAAGCAAGCAAGTAAGAGTGAGTGCTGTTTAAATAATCTTAGACCAATCCATCTTGTAGGGGTGTTCAGCTACTCCACAACTTTGAGAATTGATTACAGAAATAATAAACGCTATTTAATAGTTTTATTTACACTATTAGATTGTTTATTGGAACGTTTGGCGAAAATAGGTCAGTTGGCAATTGATTTGAACATTATGAAATGGTAAATAATTAGGATTTCTTTATAGTTTATAAATTTATGAATAAAAAAAAATGTTCATATTTTTTTCTGTATAAATTGGCAAATGATAAAATATTGCATTTGTTTTAATTGTATTAGTTTTTAGAATTTTGTAAATATAAAATTATTCTTGTAAATAAACAATCTAATAGTCTTTAATATTTTTGTTGTAAATTGTCAATAACAGAAAATGTATAAATTCATTTTCATTATATGTTTAGGTTTTATTACATTTTAATCATCACTTTTTAAAAATAACATTACTGAGGAGTGATGATAGTCAAAATAATAGTAATGCCAAGGGAAGTAACCTCTTTTTTATTTATTTATTTATTTTTTGTCAAGCATGAAGGACCAAGTCTGCCTTAATCTTTTTGGAATTATGAGAAATTTTTTTTTTAAAGGTTTTTTAATACCATTGCTGACATTTTTTTATTTATTTTTTTAAATAACCTGCATATTTAAATTATTGCATACAGAACAAACCATTATTAAAAAAAAAATAAAGGGAAAATAAAACTCTCTACTAAAGTAGTTTCATAAAAAAATACAAAATGACTAAAAAAAAATGGCTTGTGGGATAAAAAAAAAATATTTTTGAGGTAGTCATGGTGATTTTCTAAGCATAGCTTAGATGTGGCACAAGGCCGACAGTATGGAGCACCCATTGAGGACCAAACTCACTACTCAGTCATAACTGTTTTAGCCAGACAAACCATTATGCTAGAATGTGAATCAACTATTAAATACTTATTTCCAATTTTATGAAGAAATATATATGAAGAGATTTTTTGATTCTTAAATTTATAAAATGAACAAGAAAATTTAAATAAACACACAATGACAAATAACTAATTATAAATTTTCCCAATGTTTCTTTCATCTACTCTCATCACATAAATTGACTATGATAGGTTGAGAGCATCTCTTCCTCTAAACCAGACAATTCTTTTCATTTTAGATGAGACTCAATATTTTGTATCTCCCTATTCGTTGGGTGGATATGGTTATCCTTGTGTATAATTACAGAATGTCAAATTTGTTACCAGTTATTTCTCTTGATTAGAAATCTTTGATCTTAGATAGTGATTATAAAGAAAAAAAAATGGGAGAAAAATGAAAACAAAAATTAATTTGAAATATAAGATAATCTGAGAAGAAAATGGATTATGTCCTGAAAATCCTGTTTATTTAAATTTTCTTATTCTATAGTTGAGACATTTTTAAATAAAAATACTTGTTTTCAGACATTTTTTTTTATAAAATGGTAAATAATAAATTTTGCATTGTAGTTGGTTCACATGTTTTTATAATTCTGAACATAGCTTTTTAAAGCAATAAACATTGGTGAGTATACAGTAATCGTGATGTCAAGAGAAAAAAGATTTTTTTTCGGGTCCAAAAGTTAAACTTTGCCAGAATTTCAGTTATTAATGCATAATAAAGTTTTTAAAAAAATTTAAAGTTTTAATAAAAAAAAAAAAAAATCTGAGTTTTACTTTGTCTAATTTTTTTTTTTTTTTTAACTAATCTAAGATTTGTCATTTTTATAAACTTCATGCTAATAGAAAAAACAAAAAGTATAATGTGAGCACAAAAATCAATGAGGATATTTAAAATTAAAATATTTTGCATATAATTTTATGCCAAATTATTATAAGTTCTATATTTATAATTAATTTTTAATTATTTTTCCCTCTCATTTTAAAATTATATATATATATATATATATATATACACACACACATTACATACATACATGCACTCATAATATTGGGTCTTTTGTCCTTATCCTTGTTTTTATCATGACATTTTGGCTCCAGGCTTCCTCAGGTGTATATCAATCTGGGTGACATACCAGGAATTTCAAACTGAACCCTTTATTTAATCTACAGGGGTATACTGTTCTCATTCCACTGCCAATGTCTAGGGATATCTCATCTAGTTCTTATTTTATTCAACATTGTTCAGTTATTGCTCACCTGTTTCCATTGAGTGCAAGTACACACTGACTGACCCAGAGATTAAACTCACATCTACTATGCTACCAAATTCACTAACCGACACTTTTACCGACTTGGCCATTGTCCTGTAGATTAAATAGTTTGGAATTCCTTGTAGGTTACCCAAGATCAAAATCCACCTGAAGAAGGCCAGAAGATACAATGGCTGAAATGCTGAGATAAAAAACAACAAAGATGAAGACAATAGCCCAAATATAAATAGTGTAAATAATAATAACTTCAAAAGTAGAAATATATATATATATATATATATATATATATATATATATATATATATATTATTTATTTATTAAAGACATTTTATGTTTTAACGTTGTTTTTTTATAGATTTAAAGAATTTAAGTAAATATTTGTTTTTCTATAAAAATTTAAATAACATTTACATTCAATGTCCGAGAAATTTATTTAATATTTTTATCATAAAACAGAGACATTTACTTAAATACTTGTATCTATAAAAAACAACGTTAAACATAAAAAATGTCTTTAATAAATAAATTGTTGGACCTTGTCCATTTCTTAATATATATATATATATATATATATATATATATAGCCTGAATTTCTGGGATGTGGAGTTATTATTTTAGTGTGTGTACCAATTGGCAATTGGTAGGGATAATTCCAAGGAGGACATAAATCCAAAGAGAGCTTAATGCAAGTAACAGAGCAATATAATAAGTCAAGGAAATCCTTAAAAATCCTTTTCCTCTTTTCTGCCATCTGGATGGATTGATTTAATTTCTAAAAGACCTTTGGTCTGAAGAGATGAATATTTAAATATATTCATGAAATGAATTATAACTTAAGGTCTTTTAGAAATTAAATCAATCCGTCCAGATGATAGAAAAAAGCAAAAGGATTTTTAAGGGTTTCCTTGACTTATTATATTGCTCTGTTACTTGCATTAAGCTCCCTTTGGATTAATGCCCTTTTTGGAATTATCCCTACCAATTAGTATTAGTTATATATTTTACATCTGTTAAATAACCAATATGAATTGCAAGGATAAAAAGAAATAACCTCTGACCAAATTTGTTTGAAGTGGAATCCAATATCTTTGGAAGTTATGATATGGATAATGTCTTTGTTGCTTTGTGTGTGGAATACCAACCAGTTGGCAAGATTTCATTTATTTAGCTACAGTTTTCCTCATTCAATTTTCTCCATATCAGAGTTTGTTACATAGTAGTAGTCATAGTAGTATTAGTAGATACAATAGTCGTAAGTTGGGATAAAAAGCAGTAAAGATGAAAAGGAAAACTAACCAAAATTAATAATAAGAAAAAAAAAAGGAAGGTCTCTCTCTCTCAAAACCCCCCTCCCAATCAATACTTGGAAAGAGTAATAATAGCTACTGGACTTGAGAAACCTATTTCCTGAAAGATTTTATAAATTTCAACTGAAAGCAGTACCAGCTGCTCAGTTAATAAATGCCTAATGTTTCCTTGTAAGGAAACAGTTAATATTATTATTATGATTGTTTACTAATTCAGTACTCCACCAGTAAAAAAATTAAATACTTTCTGTAAAATAAAGAGGATTTGCTCTGATGTTGATTGTTATGTGTCCGAAAAATTATTTGACCCTGAGAACTCTCTTCCAGCTTCTTGCTACATGTCATATTTATTATTTTTTTCTCCTCCCACACAGCACATGAAGCCCTTCCAAACTGGGACAAACAAATCCAGAGTTTGTGTGTTCAAGTCAACCTCATCATTGAACGTATATCTGAAAAGGAACCTGACTGGATGATAAAATACATGTAGGTGCAGTGACCGTGCAAGTCTTTCTGTTCGAAGTGTGTGCCAGCAAGGAAGCATATGAGTGTGTGCATGAGACAAACAGAGAGCAAGACAGGTGTATCCCCTCCCCAACCCAGCATACACAGAGATACAGAAATGGACTGAGAAAGAGAGAGATCAACCTGTACACCAACTGCTGAGCATCTGGCTATGTTATCCACCCTGCCTTGGTATTTGTGCTCCTCCCTCCTTTTCCACTTTGGGATGTGAAGCCATTGCTATTGATGACAGCATTCGTTATTATTATAATTATTATTATTATTGATAAATGTGGCGTTTAGGGTTGAGAAGATCTACTTGGTTATCTCCCCCTGAGTCACTGGTTCCAAGACGAAAGCAACAAACAAAAAAAGAACAAAAAAAACAAAAAAATAAACCCTCCTTTGCTACAGAAATGCATAAAGACTTTGAAAAGATGACAAATTTGGTATTATTAATAAACAAAAACTTTCAAAAGAATTGTTTTGGATTTATTAATATTTTTAATCTGTTTTTCATTATCACATTTGAAATTATGTTTTTATAGAAAGCAATGAATCTGCAATGTTGTTGGTTCTGACCTGGCATCTCACCTTCAGTCACTTTCTCACTGCCATAATTTAGTTTCCCTGTGTCTTTTCTATAAATATTTTAATGGTAATTGTGCTGACAAACTTTCCTCTTTGGCACCTAGACTTTATGAATGAAAGCACAGTATTAGATTGGCAACAAGATCTCATCTTCTTCCAGTTGAAATGGCTCAATGTAACCATAAGTTCTATGTGAATAGTTTCTTCTCTCATACTTCTCACTTGTGGAACTCTCTTCCAGCTTCTTGCTGCCCAGTCAACTTTGTTCTTCATAAATTCAAGTGCAGTGTCAATCATTATCTTCTGTTTTTTTAATTCTTGTTCTTTTAATGTTCTATCAGACAGTGTGATAAAGGTTAACCTTTATCACTCTATATGTGACTTCATTTTCTGTACAAAAACTTTATCCTGCTGCTGAAGGTGACTCTGATCCCTGAACAAGAGCATGTTTAAATTTCATAGTTGTGTTGTCATATCCTGCTATGGCAACAGAAAACAACTTTGAGTGAAATTACCAATAAGGATATTGAAATTGGGAGGCCTTGAAAAAGAATGCAGTAGAAAGGGAAGTAATATTAATGCAGAGTGCTGAAGGTTAATAGTGACTTTTATTTTTTTAATTTCCTCATCCTTGTGTTTTCTAATATGCAGTAACCCCTTGCATTTTAGTGGCTTTATTGCCTTGCTTGGGATAAAATGATTTAAAAAAAAATATCAATGCAACTTCACAGGCAAGGTAAGGAAAACAATTACTTCAGTTTCAAGATGTATTACCATTGTTAATCTTTGGGTTTTTTTTTTTTTTTTTGTTTCCCTCAATTTTACTAGTTTATTTATGCCAGGGGTTGGCAACTCTCGGTTCTCGGGCTACATTTGGCCAGTGAAGGATTTTTGTGCAGCCTGCCAACTTTACACCAGGACACCAATTATCTAATTCATTTGTGGAGCAAATGGCAGAAAAATGTTGGTTGGATTTCATTGACTTACAATCCAATGAATTTTTTAAAATCAAAATTCAATTCCGAATCCATTGCTGACTTCTACAAGAAATATGATTTCCCCAGTGGAAGATGTAAAAGCCTATTGAATAATATGAAAATGATTGATGGCATCTTTATTTGGAAGTACATAAGCTTGTGAACAATTTTTTTGAAAATGAAGTATGCTAAATGCCGTTTAAGAACAAGTTTGGGTGATGACCGCCTGGATAATATTTTTGTGTCATCAACTAATATTTCACCTGATGTGGAGAAGTTATGAAACGAGGAGCAAAAATAAGTGCCTCATTAAATAATTTGCCATTTCTCACTGTATTTCATTTGTAATAAGGAATTTTCATTTTTTGGGGGGGGGTGACCATGTTGTTATCTTGTTATTCCTGGAGTAAAATAATGAAACTTGTTTAAATAATATAACATTAACTTCTTTGGTTTTACTTTAAACCTCCAGATCAATGCAGCCTTCTGGACGGAGTGGTCTGAGGTTGTGGCAATTTATTATAATACATTTGATATTATGGCCCTCCTCTGAGACACAACATAGCAGTCTGGCCCATTCTCTCCAAAAGGTTGCAGACATTTTGTTTGTTGATGCGCATTTCTTGTCTCTGTCTGATACTTTAGGCAGCATGAATTCTTTCAAACAAAGTTTGTTGAATTATATCAACAAGTTCTGCCTAACCAATTTTTTATTAACTTTTTCAAGTTTTATATAAATGGTAAACTTTCAAAACTTTTTTATTATTATTTGATAGCTTTTGAATGTTGCTACATTTATAGTCAAGAATGTTGGACTTTGTTTATGAAGCTGTCTTTTTGGCTAATTCCAACATTCCTCATTTACTGGAGCCAATTTCAAATCACTCCAAGTGATGTTCTTTACTTCTGTCAAACTTAATTTTGACATTTTTTTTTATCCACACACTTCAATATACGATTTTCTATGAATAAGATATCCTATTTAATGTTAGCTGCTGCTTTGAATTTTAAGTCTTTCTTTGCATTGAGACATATAATATTTTCATGTTATCTAATACTTTGTGAATATTAAAGTAAAATTAGATAACAATTGATCCCCTGCCTTGTTCCCAGGCTATAAATAAAAGTAATTATAAATAAAACTGATTTGTAATATACAGAGAACACATGGAAATTTATTCACACTTCAGGAAAGGAAAAACTTGTATAGATATTGTAATACTAAATTTATTTAGCCATCACAAGACTAATATAAGTTACCTTTAGATTCTTCAATCACAAGAGATGCTCAAAATGGTGGCCTTTAGCTTCCAGATGTTTACTAGTACAGTGAAATACTACTGTGGCAAAGTTGGTTCAAGTGTTCAGTGGGATGGTTGCACATGCATTTTCAATTTCTTGTCTAAGGGCCTCCAATGTAGTCGGGTTTTCTGCAATACACAACATCCAACAGAAAAAAACACTGTTATCTATTTCCTGAAGAGTGTGGCATTTTTTTTTTTTTTTTTAGCAGACTCTTTATGCATTTAAGCATATCTTACTTTAATGGTTTATTTACCTATCACGGCTATTCACAACTGAAGAGTTGAAAACAATACTTATGGTAGTATTTGTGTCACCAGAAGAGAATATTACATCAAAGTGGGCAATTTGCATATCTCTATGTAGTGGGCTTTTCTGATGATACAGAAAAATGTTAAATATATAGTTGTGAGTGTATGTGTGTTTTTATATATATATAATATATATATATATATATATATATTAGAGAGAGAGAGAGGATTGATGTAGACAATAAAATGCCAATAACCAAAAATACTATTCTTAAAAGGGTGCTCAATACAGAGTAGAGCAAATATTATTCAATAATTATAACATAAACATGTTATAAAATCACTACAAAAATAGCCATTTTGTTTCAACACTTCTGGTATCTTATCAAATGATGGTGTTGAATGTAGAATAAAGAATTTTAAAAGGTTCAAATTGACCAAACACCCCTTGATAGGGGAAACACTGTTACAAAAGCTACAATGACCAATCAAAATACAAGTATATGAGAATTAAAACAACTTGACACAAACCTTGGTTATAATTATTAATGTTAGTATATATATATATATATATATATATATATCAATCGTATTTTGTCTGCTATCAAACTTGTCAGCAGTCAATATACCACATAACACCCTCGAGTGCTTAGCCTTGGAGCGGGTAGAATGGAGATCAACGTATTTTAGTGGACCCAGCAGTTTTCAATCTTCTTGTCTGAATCATCTTCCAGAAGCGAGAGCAAGATCTAAAAGGTCAGCTAATCTAACAGTGATCTCATCTCCCGATCCTCACACTTGTTCCATATGTGGCCTCCTTTGTAAATCACTAGTGGGTCTTTAATGCCACTTAAGATTATCGCACAAAATTTCATAACTGAATCAACTAAGACTGCAGTTATGGGACATCTGTTAAGAATTAAACATACAACCAAACTTTAATATATTTGATAGTTTATAAGATCAATTCCCCCACTGTACAAATGTCCCCTGCATCTTACTCATTGAGGTGTTTAATAGTCCACGGAGATGGTAAAGACTACCACTACTTGCACTTAGCCTAGCTCCTGCTGACATGCTGCATCTTTTGTCCAAATTTTTATTTTTTATTAATGTTATAAGACTGACCAGTAAATGTATTCACATTTTGAAACTTTCTCAAGAAAAAATTCAAGCAACCAGCAACTGTATCTAATTTAAATAATGCATATGAAGAGAGTATTTAGAATAAATACTGGCTCTTAAGATTTTTGATTGCATGTTTTCAAATTGATGTCTGTTATGATGCGGACATTGCTGACAATAGAATCACATGCAGCAATCAATTTTTTCAGAGGTATTTGACTGCATTCTTGCTCTATGGAAACTTTAATTTCAGCAAATGTTGCTAGCTTTGTAGTGTATACTTTTTATCTTTTAATGTATCCCCACAAGAAGAGTCTAAAGCGGTGATGTCCAGTGAACAAGGACGATGTAAATACGTTTAACTTTTATATACCCTGGGCACACGCAAACACACATAAATACATATAGACACAACTAATGTCTATGAATTCTCATGTCACCTGTGAGGTTGCATCTCCAACATTAATAATCAAAAAAGCAGCATTAAATACTTACTTTGGGCACACATGCAACGAACTCACTTGCAGACTGACTTGTTGAAAATCCAGGCACACATCGACCAGCGCATCATGAAAGACCAAAATATAATTATCAACATAAGACAAACATTAGTAGATTATGCCAAAATTCTCTACAGCACCCAATGTAAGGAAAAACTCAAAACTCTAGAAGGTATTATATACAAAATGAATGGCCCACATTAACTGCCAAATTTTTTTAATGCGCATTTTTGGCCCGGA